TATTGACTTTTAATTTCTGTAAATATGGATGTCTGTTTAGACAGAAACCTGGGGCATAATATCAGCTAAAACCATCACATAAAGCAATAATAATAACTGTTAAAGGCTAAGCGTTAATTACGCCCCCAGTGGCACAGCGGGGTATCTGTGGACTTACAAAGCTATAAACCGGGTTTCGATACCCGTGGTGGGTAGAGCACAGATAGCCCATGGTGTAGCTTTGTGCTTAATTCCAAACAAACGAACAAAGCGTTAATTACACTAGTCTTTTGAAGGCATAGGTTAAATATTTCTATCAACGTCCTTCTCTTGACAAACAACCAATTATAAGTAATTTCATTTAGAACTGAACTTCAAATTGATGTAAACACTTCATACCTCACTTTTGTTACAATGCAAGTTTAACCTTTACTTCTTTGTTTACTTTTTTATTGCAGCATATATTTTGTTTTAGATAATTCTTATAGCAGTTCCAGAATAACCAAAGATCCCTACTTTCAGTTAAAACCTTTAATTTTTTTCTCCATTTATTTGTTCAGTTTTTATATATCCATGGATTGGACACAACATCTATAAAATATCAGTATAGCCATATCCCTGATAGCTATAACTTTTACAAGAATTAAAAGTATGGATTAAATTTTATAAATCTGTGATTGTGGTTTTAATTTTTGTTTCAATACTTTTTGTAGCAGGATTCCTACTTCATTTTAAAATACATAATCTTAATACTTTTGTTTATTCACTTTTTATGTTATACCTGTATAAAGTATATACTTTACCTTTAGAAAGTGTCGCGTGTCTATCCATCGATATGTAGTGTCATTTGTTGGGTTGTACTGGGTTGAAAAGATATTTAAGTACGTGCATGATATATTTACCATTTATAAAAAACATCTGTATATCTTTATCGGAATATCAAAAGTAGATACCCACAGACCAGTCAACTAGGCTGGAGAAATCTTATAGCGATAGTCTGAATTGTCTAGGCGCTAGCCCCGCTGACGTGATCAGGGAGGTAGGTAGTAGACTAAAAAGTTGCTGTTTTAGAAAATTTTGAATTGTTATACATTTTTAGCGTATTATTAGTACATATGCGCATAATATATCGTAACCAATACTTTGAATGGTCAATTTTTCGCTTAGGAATTTAATAGGGTAGTTTTTCGGTGCGTGAATTATTTGGAAACATTGTCCATCCCTACTATTAAGTACTATCGTACTAAATAATACAACTATACACTGTCCACGTTTTAAAATATTGTATTTAAAATTTTTTTCATCTAAAGCAAACTATTTATGTCCTATTGATTCTGCGTTAAAAAACTGTCATTGAAAATTACTTTTACATTTTGAAGGCAATACTGTCTTGGAATTAATTATCAAGATATAATTTTGCCTGTAACTGGTATCGGTTATTTAATCTGTTCTTTGTTTTACTCATCTCAAGCCATTTGTTTCAATCCTTCCGAGATTTGTCGTCACCAAAATAGTTTATACTAATCTCGTATAAAAATATTATGCATGAGCCTATTCAATAAATCATCCACTTTTATCCCTGGAGACGTTGTATTAATCTATAAATGTCTTCGTACATTGTAACAAATGGACCAAACGGGAGTAAACCTTGTAAGAGAAAGTGCCTTAGTCAATATAACAGGGACTATCACTTGCTGTAAGTTATAAGTTATACATTATTTGAGTATCAGAAGTTTCTTGCTCGCAGTGCTTGCTGTTTTGTTGTTTTTCTTGAGTGGTTTGTTCACGATACCTAAATCTGTAAAGCTACAGCAATCAATAGCCTACTAAGGCAAATAGGTCTCTCTCTCTCTCTCGATTTCTTGAAGCGAGGGTTAAACAAAATGATGGCCCCTGGAGGCGATAAGAGGAACACAATTTCTCGAACTGTCACATGACAGAAAATTCTATTTTTAATTCTTATTGTTTGTTTCGTGATTTTATATGGCCTATTTTAAATTTTTGCTTGAAGCGGTGAGAGAATTCCAAACCAAATACTGGAATAATGAGCCTGAATTCCAATATGCATTAAACATTATTCTGGTTTGCCTTAGGAAGCTTTTCTTAACGCAGAGTTGTTTCTGTCAAATATTGAGAAACATAATTCACAGGAAATGCTACCTATATTTATCTGTACGATCACATTTGCTAAGTTTTATAATGCAACAGATACAAAATATTACATTTTTGATGTGTTAAATTCAAATTAAAACTTTAACAGGAGAAAATAATCATATGAAACTTAGTAAAACAATTTAGCAAAGGTGTAGTGATTAGCATGCACACAAAGTGAATATCAACAATTTTGTACATGGATCACACGAACAGCAACACGTTCAGAAAATCAGATCAGTGTTTGGGTTTGCTCAAAATGACTTAACAGTTTAACAGAATGTCAAACGTGTGTACTAGTTGTTATATAGTTCAGGAAATATTTGTGCAATTTTCGTACTTCGCCACTTTAATCAATTTTATTATGCGAGTGACAATTTCGGATAAATTCCCAATCAGTTACTCATGAAACTAAATTTCTCTATAAATATGTAATTTTTACTTACATGTGTAAAATGTTCTAGACAGAATTACCTCACAAAATGGTTCTAGACATATTTCAAAATACAGGTATCTCAAATTTTAAAAATAATATGAAAACATAAATAAACGAGTTGATTCTAATTAGTTAATTTCAGAATGTCATATTTTCATGCAAGGCAATCATTAAACGATGCAAAGCGCAGTGCTATAGGACTAGTAAATAATTAACTTATTAAAGACAAGTCTAAGTACAATTGATTAGAAATTTCGCGCAGAACTGCTTGAGGATCATCTGCGCTATAGTTACCTCTAAATTTGAAGTGTTAATCCAGAGTAAAGGCAGTTAGTCAACACTACCAACCGTCAACTTGTGGGCTACTTGAAACAAATATTTCAACTTGACTGTCACTCTTATAACGCACCCACGGCTCCAATGCAATGCAATATTTTTGGGTGGTTTGTTGTTTGTAATTAAGCACAAAGCTACACAATGGGCTATATGTGCTCTGCCCACCACGGGTATCAAAAACCGGATTCTAGTGTTGTAAGTCCGCAGACATACCGCTGTGTCACTGGGTTTTTTTTTTTTTTTGGTGGTAACGGAGCGCGAGTCACGAACTTCGGATCCAGAATCCGGTACTCTAGCCACAGCCAGAAAATAAATTCAATGAATTGTTAATTTATACAATTTATAATTCTATCTAAAGTTATACATTCAGGAAATCAGGGCTCTAAGGATTGTTTCTTTGATTGTTAAACAAGTTTTAAATATTTTAGAGTAAAATAATTATAATATATCGAGAGCTTAATTTACCTATACTCAATGGTTCTCAGCTCTAGTAGTCCAAGAGACGAATCAAGTGACTTTAATGAAAACATCCTTTCAAGCACGTGAATAGTAGTTTGTTGTTTAGGAAAAATAATAAACTATTTTGATTTTTCAGTTAAACAGAATCAGTTGTTTGTTCTTTACTATTTCTGGCGTCATATGTTGGACATTAGAATTTAAACGAACCACTCAGTAATTGCACATATTATCCTGTTAGTATTAATTTCCGAGTTTATTTGTCTTGTTTACCTTCGGAAAAAGCGTTGTAAGTCCATAATCCTATCGTCAACCCACAGCTTTCATCCAATGACAACATCACAGAATATTTTTCAAGTTATGACAATCTAAAACTAGGTAGCTTCACTATGTTATAATACTTTTAATTTTTGAGTTTCCTCTTTCAGTGAGTGAAACGTATAGAGACACATTAAAAGCTTTCTGTTAGTTGTAGCTATATTGGACCGACAAATAAAAAATTATGAAAAAAATATGTATGATGTAAGGATGGCAATGCCAAAACGTACAGCAACAAAGTCCGGATGAATAGACAAAATCATACATAAATCCCTACATAAGAAAAACTTTCATCTACAACTAAATGTTGAATTCCTTTCATTTGCATCAATTCAGATTTGAATAAAAGCATTTAAACCGAATAATTTTATAAAGCAGTGATTCTCAACCAGGGGTAAATTTACCCCTTGGGGTAAAAAATAACATGGCAGGGGGTAAATAATTGATGTACCGGATGATTGAATAATAATTCAATTAAATTTAATTTTGTAAAATGTGTGTGTGTGTGAGAGAGAGAGAATGCTAAGAATGTGTGTGTGTGTGTGTGTGTGTGTGTGTGCTCGCGTGCATGCGTGAGGGAGAGAGGGAGGAGGGGAGAGTGTCAGTCAATCCTGTTCAGTCCTATACAGTCACTATACTAATTCATAATTATTTCTTTTCAGATTTTGTCATGTCCAAGAAACGTACATACCTGGATTCATATGTACAATATGGTTTTGACTTCATTGTTGTGGATGGTGTGGAGAAGCCTCAGTGTCTGCTGTGCTCAAAAGTCCTTAGAAATGGGTCACTGAAACTTTCAATATTGAAACAGCATCTGGAAGCTACATATCCTGCACATGCATCTGATGACCGTGCTACATATGAGGCAAATAGAGCTAGGTTTAGAGCTGCAGGAACACTGCCCAAACTTGGCTTCGTATCTGAGAAGAAACCAATGCTTGCAACTTCCTATCATGTAGCGATGCGAATAGCAAAGGCAAAGAAACCTCATGACATAGCCGAGAAGCTGATTAAACCTTGTGCCTTAGACATGGTTGAACATGTATGTGGGAATAAAGAAAAACAGAAGATTCAAGCCATTCCCCTTTCTAATGACACAATTCATCGGCGTATTATAGAAATGTCGCAAGATATTTGTCAACAAGTTATTGAACAGATCAAATCTAGCCAAGCAAAAATTTCTTTGCAACTTGATGAATCCTGTGATGTAGCCAATTTTTCACATCTTCTTGTTTTTGTCCGTTACATATGTGGAAAATAACTAAAAAATGAATTTCTTATTTGTGAACCTCTCGAACAAACCACAAAGGCTATTGATATAATGCAGAAAATACAAGACTTCTTTGAAAAGAACGATCTCACATGGGACATTGTTGGTTCAATCTGTACTGATGGAGCTCCAGCCATGATGGGAGTGAGATCAGGCTTCACTACACTTGTGAAGCAAAAGGCACCCCATGGGATAACAACACATTGTGTTCTTCACAGACATGTATTAGCTGCAAAAACTCTTCCTGAAAATCTGAAAATTGTTTTGCAGAAAGTTGTTAAGGCTGTTAACTTCATTCGGGCCCGAGCTATGAATCACCGTTTGTTCAAAGCTTCTTGTGATGAGATGGGCTCTGAGCATTCCATTCTTTTACTGCATACTGATGTGAGGTGGCTTTCTCGTGGACTTATTTTAAATCGTGTGTTTAAGCTCCGTACCGAGTTAGAGATTTTTCTTCGTGATAGGAATTCAAAGCTGTGTGAAGACTTTGCTGATCCGAAGTTCATCGCATGTTTGGGGTACCTCTCAGATATATTTACCCATCTTAACCAAGTCAACAAACAACTCCAGGGAACGTCAGTAACCATTGTTGAAGCAAGTGAAAAGAGGACAGCATTGCAGACAAAGCTGGACTTATGGGCACGGAGAGTTCACCAAAGTAACTTTGTAAATTTTCCAAACTTGGATGAGGAAAGATCTGAAGTGTTACCTGAGATAAATGAAGACATCACAAAACATTTGAAAATCTTGAAGAATCACTTCACTGCCTACTTTTCAAAAGGCATGATTCCAACAGAGAGATGGATAATAAGACCTTTTGCCACTGAACTGTCAGAAATGAAAGATGATGACCCAGCAATAGAGGAGCTGATTGATCTTCATTTTTGTTCATTTTTGGGTAAAACTCGCAGATTCATTCCCACTCCTTACTCAGCGTGCCTTCCAAGTGCTTGTTCCTTTTGTCACTACATACTTATGTGAATCAGGGCTCTCAAGTTTAGTAGCAATGAAGTCAAAGGCCAGGAACCGATTGAAAGCCGATGACGGTATGAGAGTAGCATTGTCATCAACAGCTCCTCGCATAAACAAACTGATTGACTCAATGAATTAGCAGTGTTCCCACTGATAATGTTTCTGGTATTTCTGTTTGGTTTTATTTTTTGTGATAAAAATGGACTGTATAATAATTTTTTCTTTAGAAAAGAATGTTTTATTTTCTTTATTTTTGGTGATACGATTGTATATTGCTATTTTTGTGCAAAACCTGAATAATTTTTTTTCTGACCTTCTTGTTTTTCTGTCCCTTTATGATGGCTATGAATTTATTGTATGTAAGTAAGGGGGTAAATGGAGAAATACATCAAGCCGAGGGAGTTAATGATGGAGGAAAAGTTGAGAATCCCTGTATAAAGTCTTACAATGGCTAATTCCCATAAACTTGTAACATTGACTCAGTAGCTATTTATGTAGGGGTTTTGTGTATTCATCCCTACTTTGTTTCTGTACTTTTTTGGTATTGCCATCCCTAAATCATCTTTATTTTTCTATTTTTTATTACTTGTTTTCCTTCTTTTTTTTAACGAATGGCAGTCGCTATGAGGGCAGCAGTTTTCGCCTGGCATGATGAGTTGTCTTGATGGACATAATGTGTTGAAGTTAGTGAAACGCTATACTGCTTCTGTACTTCTTAAGTTAAAATGCAACATTTTGGTATGTAAATCATCGCTAGCCCTACTGACGCCAGAATCAGAATAATCAGTAGAATATTTGGCTGTTACGCTACTCCCCGGTTCTCTACATTAGCGATGTTTTTTTGCCTAAACTGAAGGTCTTAAAGCTTTGGAAAACCTTAAACCAAAGTTAGGTGTTTATAAAAGTCTCTTAGACTTTGAGACTATGATGAGCAATACATAATATGCGTCGGCCACTGTTTTCTTGACCCATCTCTACATATTGAGCACCACCGTGCTTAATGATAGTTCATTCTACTTAATACCCGAGACATCTGTGAGGACGTTCTTCACCTTTATGATATTCATCCTCTCATTCAAGTTGAGTGATAGTAAATTAAGGTTCCACCATTTTATTTTGATGGGCTCTAGAATTAACCTGCAGTTTGCTAGTTGTTAGCGACGTTTTTTTGCCTAAACTGAAGGTCTTAAAGCTTTGGAAAACCTTAAACCAAAGTTAGGTGTTTATAAAAGTCTCTTAGACTTTGAGACTATGATGAGCAATACATAATATGCGTCGGCCACTGTTTTCTTGACCCATCTCTACATATTGAGCACCACCGTGCTTAATGATAGTTCATTCTACTTAATACCCGAGACATCTGTGAGGACGTTCTTCACCTTTATGATATTCATTCTCTCATTCAAGTTGAGTGATAGTAAATTAAGGTTTCACCCTTTTATTCTGATGGGCTCTAGAATTAACCTGCAGTTTGCTAGTTGGTTACCTTGATTAGTGTTCTTTCAACTTTAAAAGTGACTCGTCTTAACATAATTTTCAGTCAGTAAAGTTACGTTGTTTTGTCAGTTTAAAGTTTTACCGTAGCGTCTGTTAATCAGTATGTTTATGTTTGTCTATGTACTACAGTGATTTTATGTCTCAATCATCCTTTACATTTAGCTTTAGTTTCACGGATTTAGAGCTATATCATTTTTTTCAGTTGTTACCTCCAATGACTGTTTTCAAACATATTTATGTTTTCATTAAATACTTGGCATCTTGTCCCTTTCATTTTATCGTGCTTACACACTTTGAACTTCTGTATTTCTATAGCCGAAAAAACTCGTTTCGCACTCTGAAGTCATGTGTGCACTACAAAACTGATGGTTAGATCAATGTAGCCCAAGATTTCACACTGGGTGTTGTTTATAAACTGTTCTTTCTCTAGTCTGTCAGTTCAAAATTAGGCGAAACTATGCGCACATATACCGTGTGGGCCCGGCATGGCCAGGTGGTTAGGGCACTCGGCTCGCAATCTGAGGGTCGCTGGTTCGAATCCCCGTCACACCAAACATGCTCGGCTTTTCAGCCGTGGGGTCGTTATAATGTGACGGTCAATCCCTCTATTCGTTGGTAAAAGAGTAGCCCAAGGGTTGGCGGTGGGTGGTGGTGACTAGCTGCCTTCCCTCTAGTCCTACACTGCTAAATTAGGGACGGCTAGTGCAAATAGCCCTTGTATAGCTTTGTGCGAAATTCCAAACAAACAAATAGACACCTGCTCGGAGAGGATGAAGAGGTCTGAATAGAACCTGACCCTCCCAAGTCGCGCATAAAGACCAAATATTTATACGGATAGACACGCCGCTCGGAGAACCCGCTCAGGTCGTTCTTGTGAATGATAAGTATAGTTTATTCAAGTAAAAGTAAATACTACTACTAATCTATATACATATAATAGTACTGTCTGTTGTATGTCCATGTAACTACTTCGCAGGGTGTGGATGGATCTTCACTAAAATTGGTATGGAGGTTCAATAGGTCCATGCGGGGTTACATACAAATTTTCAGTTTTAATTTCAAGTTTTACGGTTTCTATGAGCATTTTTGCGTGTGTTTTTTATACCTACCTCACCTCCTGTGGATAAATCTTCACCATATTTGATATGGAGGTTCACTCAGTCCATGGGGAGATACAAAAAAAACTTTCAGTTTTGCATTTTGCGATTTTTATGGGCGTTTTTGCGCTTTTTACCACTACTTGGTCCCCGGTTGATGGACCTTCACCAAATTTGGCATGAAGGTTTGTTGGATCCATGCAGAGATACATGCAAACTTGCGGTTTCACATTTTGTGTTTTGCAGTTTCTATGGGCGTTTTTTTACAATTATATATAAGGAAAGCAATTGTTCATGTCCTAAGATAACCTTTCATTAATCATGAGGGGATGGGTACTCCAGCTAGTAATAATAATAAAATAATAATGAGTGTTAAATAAATAATATTGTGTTAGTAATTCTTATCCTAATTCTGATTTGTAAATGACCAATATAAAGTTAATAAAAATTACACTGTATCAAATTAATTTAGTTCACACCACAATAGTTGTTGTTTGTGCAATTTGAAGAGCGCTGGTGATGTTCGAAAGGCCTCGTCAGCACTAGATATAGCAAATATAGCGTGGTTGACATAGCGTCATATATTCTTCTTTCTTTTACTCACACGTTCTTAGAATTACCAAAATGTGAATCAAGTGTTTCCTAAACTTCCGGCATAACACAAATCGAAATCAAATAATTCCAAAACTGATACGTTCTTAAGTTATTATTTCTTTGTTTTCGGATATTCGTGCAGAATGCTATCTGAGGAAAGCAGATAGTCAACAGCTTACAACGCCAATTCCTGAGCTACTATTGTCTGACGGAATAGTGGGATTTGACCGTCACACTTATGATGCACCCCTGTGAGCACGAACTTTCCTTTGGTAACTGAATGCGAGTGATTAGACCCGCAGGATTCACAGTTCGGTACGCTGACCATTGAGCCATGCTCAGCGCTCTTAAATGACAAAAATTTCCAAACTTATAATGCTTCTACACACATCAGCTTGTTTCAATGACTTGTGAGAATACATTCACCAGTTGTATTTAAAACGGCACTAATTTCGCAAGTCTAACATGCATAGTGTAAATAGATGGGATTATATAACACTCACATATATATATATATATCTTATTTGGAATTTTCTTAAATAATATGAGGCTTAGAAAATTGTTAACATATCTGTCAATAAATACATACAGAAGGATGAATTTCCACGATCTATGTTAACAATACAAGAATGAGCGACTGTAGGCCGTATAGTCCTCCTCCTACTGTCGATGGTATTCTGTGTGATGGTCTGGTCATGGATTATTGTCCTGCAACGCAATGTCCACTGCAAGAGGATTTTGAGAAATACATTGAAGTCACTGTTTTCTCCTATCTCTTTACATACTTCTCAAAGTCTGCCAACCATCAGTGGATACCGACTTTCGAGGGCTCATTTCAGCAACCCAAAGATACAGAAGACTATCACAGACATTTGCGAATGTTATAGTATTGATTCTCATTTGTTCACCTCATACAGCTTTCAAAGGGGGTTCTCCGTTGAGCTATATGCTTTAAGAGAATCATTTGAACATGGTACTTTTGTAGGACAATACACCATCTCTGAGTTTTAATATCCTTACTTAGTAGAATTATTTATCCTGTATAGGGTTGGATGTGGTTGCTGTTAGACGTTTTTTAATGATGCATTTTTTTTTCTTGTGTGCAAGAATGCAGAGAACAGAAAACATGAAGTTTTGACTCAATAAAACTTTCTACGCTATATAATTTTATCACATTAAGAACAGAAAAATGCTTAGTCGTTTCTTAATATTAAGATCTCGAAGTATGAAAAAGCGTTATGAGAGTGGGAAGAGGATGAGCGTCCAATTACTATAACACAAATTAAACGCGATTTGCTTTAATAACACGCTGTTCTTCTAGACCTCTCATCTAGACGCTTAGAATGCATGATTCATGAGCCGTTTACAAACTGCTTCACTTAAACAGTGTAAGATAGAGAGCTTAAATTTTTATCAAAACAAATTAATATATGTCACATATTTGTACGAAACACAGCAGTTAACCAAATACGAGATTCTATGGATGTGTAGTTCAAAGAGGTTTAATTTAGCCAATTTCTCATTTTAAGAGAGTAATGACAACTAGGTAATCATACTCGTGTAACTAGTCTTAATAAACTGCTTATTCTTGGAATTTTATTTTAACTATAATATGCAGTTCTAGCTCTTTCTATTTGATACAAACAAGCAAGGAACCACCTTCAAACACTGTAGAATTTAAGAAGAAAGAAGATAATATAAAAGTGGAAGGATTCAAATAATCTTCAAATCTTATAGTAGAAACAAATATGCAGCGTGTACACACACTCGTTCATCAATCTTGTAGCAAATTTTATGGTTTTACAGGCGCTTTGAACGTGA